ACTTTCCCAGTGAGGGTTTTCCGGCTTCTGGAGGTGGACACCCTAGTGGTCACCAATGCAGCTGGAGGACTCAACCCCAAGTTTGAAGTCGGTGATATCATGCTGATCCGTGACCATATCAACATGCCTGGTTTCTCTGGCCAGAATCCTCTGATAGGCCCCAATGAGGACAGGTACATCATTTTGCTCCCGGGTTGATGGATGTGTGGGGCTTAAGGATTTATTTAAGAGTTCAGAGAGAGCACATTGTGATCCATGAATCAAAAGTGATCTTCCAACCTGTGTCTTAGGTTTGGAGTTCGTTTCCCTCCCATGTCTGATGCTTATGACCGGGATCTGAGAAAGATCGCTCACAAAACCTGGAAACAAGTGGGGGAGAAGCGAGAACTACAGGAAGGCACCTACGTGATGTTGGCGGGCCCTAACTTTGAGACTGTGGCAGAGTCTCGTCTCCTGCAGAAGCTGGGGGCAGATGCTGTTGGTGAGAAGGGGACTTGGCTGGTGAAGGAGGGATCTTATAAAAAGGGATTGGAAAGAGTAGGAGATAACTCTTTATGATTGATAAATCAATGGCACTGGGCCTGAATAAGACTTGGTTTATTTCTAAGGATTATTCTAACAGCTATCATATGACTACCTTCAGTATTATTGGCTTGAAGAAGACATGTATCATTAGAACCAAATGAAATAAACCAAACCAGTTGTCATGGATTCTGGCTCATGGCAACTGCATGTGTTTCAAAGTTGAAGGGTAGTCCATTGGGATTGACATGTCACTCTCTGGCTATAATTTTTTGGAAGTAGATTTCTAGCCTTTTCCTCTGAAGTGCCTTTGGGTGGATTTTAACCAGCAACCTTTCAATTAGATGGGAGTACTTAACCTTTGTGCCACCCAGGGACACCACATCATTAAAACTGACTTTTAAACTATCTTAAACAAATTTAGTGGTAGAACAATCCATTCCTACTATTTATTAAAAACGTATAAGCCTCCCCTGAGACCCATCTTAATGTAAATATATATGGATCAACAATAGTTTATCATAATAATTTAACTGACAACTAGCCTCTTTGAAGAAATTTTGCAATTTTAAATTCTGAGCTGGCAATGAACAGAATGTGAGGATAAGGGGTGAAGTTAAAAAGAAAAACTGATACCAAGGGCTCAAGTAGAAAGAAAATGTTTTGGAAATGTTGATGGCGACATAAGTACAGTGTGCTTAATACAACTGAATGATGGCTTGTCATAAGATTTATAAGAGACCCCCCAAATAAAATGATTCATAATAATATATATTTTTAAACAAGAGTCATTTGAGGATCCTGACAGTTGGCTTCCATCTTTCTTCCCACCAGGCATGAGCACGGTCCCCGAAGTTATAGTAGCACGACACTGTGGCCTTCGAGTCTTTGGCTTCTCCCTCATCACCAACAAGGTGGTCATGAACTACGAGAGCCTGGAAAAGGCCAATCACGAGGAAGTCCTAGCCGCGGGAAAGCAAGCTGCGCAGAAATTGGAACAGTTCGTCTCCATTCTTATGTCCTGCATCCCTCCCTCTCACACTGCCAGTTGACCAGCCGCTGCCTTGTGGAATCCAAATAGCTGCTGCCCACTTTGGCCCTCTTCCGGGGTCACCTGCCTTTCCCGTAAGGTCATCGCAGAGAGGAGAGAGAGGATCACTTCTACTTCTCCCACCAGACCCTTCTGATGCCAGATTCTCTTTTGCTCAGCTGTTTTCTGAAAGCCATTTCCATCCCTGATCTTTCCCACACTGGAGCCCACACCTTAACACATCTGTGTGTGTGCCCAGGATTTGACTTGGGCCCTTGAACTTGGCACAGTGACTACTTTTTGGAGTAATGCTCTCACATTCCTAGGGGCTGAGTTCTGCCATCCCCATCGCACTGGAGACCTCACAAGAACCAGCCCAATACCTCTTATGACTTTTAACATTGTGCTTGGATAATAAAAAGATGGAAAAAATGAATAAATAAAAAGAAAGGTGTATCAGTTCTTCATTTTGTACAATGGTCAGGCTGGGAGCATAGGCCAAGACGGGCAGGAGAGACTGAGACCACAAGTACTGTGTGACTCTCTGTTCCTCACACAAGTAGCTGAGGCCCTGTCCTGGATAATTGTGGCGGGCCGAGGACTGAAGGATTTTGGATGTTAGAACTCTCTCACAGGGGACTCCTTGGATTGGTGAAAACATTCATGCAAGGTAGAGAGTAGCATGTTCCTGGGGACAATGGAGTAACTGCCCCAAACTCTCATAGACCTTGCCTAGTGTGTTTCTGCATCTGTTTCTTCTTATGGTTAAGGGTCTCATGAAGGAGACAGACACAAATACAAATGCAAAAATAGAAAGCATATTGTGACAAGAACTGTATAAGACTGGAGTTCTGGTGAATTACCCTTGTAGGCATGATCACAGTGGAGGCCAAGTAGCAGTTCTCCCAGCAGTGTTGGGTGCTGGAGATCATTGGTATAGCTGCCTTGTTTCATATGCAGCACTGCATTAGGGGGCAAGGTGGGGGTGGGGGGAGTTCCCTCAGCCACATGTAAGGCCCCAGGACAGGCAGGGGACCCCCCAGCCACATGAAGGACAAGCAGGACCTCTCCAGCTGCGTGTAAGATCACAGGACAGACAGGAGCTCCCCAATGGGCTTGTGAAGTTGCCCTAGCTTGTACCAAGACCACTGATGCCCCAATAGCTCAGAGGTTTTTGTTTTGTATTTTCCCCTGGCCAACTGGAGTTGAATTAAGTTAAGTTGGCCTCCTGGCTATGGGCTCTGCCAGGCTTTTTATTTTTAAACATTTTTACTGGCACTCAATACACATGTCACACAATTCAATAGTTCTATCATATCAAGAAGAGTTGTACAATCATTACAACAATCAATTTTAGAACACTTTCTTTTAATTTCCCCCCACAGTTAAATCACTTTTTAAATGAGTTGTGTAATCACCATCAGTTCTAGTGTTCCATCCCCTCTCCCTCCCACATACAGTGAACCCTCGCCACTTCGCGCTTCGACTTCCGCGGCTTCACTCTATCGCGGTTTTTGCATTAACAGCGCATGCTCTGTCATTACTGCCACTGATTGGCTCATACTGTACACGCTTGATGCCATAAATAATATAATAAATAATAAATGATAATTGTAACGTCCAAAATGTTTTACTGTATTTTCCCTTTTTCGTTTAATAAATTGGGTAATACGAGTGTAATGGTGACTAAAGGGTGTTTTTTCATGTCCTCTATGCTCTAACTACGAAAATATTTGATTTACAAATAAGGAATCATACTTCGCGGAATTTCATTGATCACGGTAGTGTCTAGAACCGATTAACCGCAATAAACGAGGGTTCACTGTATATTGTTTGCTTCACAGGTCCCCTCACCCTCTCTATCTTTCACCCCCCACCCCTACATCCCTTATAACCCCTTGCCTTAGTTCTTATCTCTATACATCTACTCTAAGCTGAAGGCTATTCCTGACTCCCATAGCTTCTGGAACTGATGAACCAGGAAACAAAAAGATCAGAGACTGGTGGAGGCAAATGTGAATGAATCCAAAGTCAGCAGGCCATATGACAGGCTGCTGATAACACCATACTGGCAGGCAATATGGGGAGTCATTGGTTCAGTCCTAAAGAACTGGATTCCCACTAGCAAGAAGAGGGATCCTTCACACAGAGTCAGCTTAAATAGGAATAGGCTACACCTCTGAGGAAACTTCCTTTCAATTGCACCAGGGCTATGACCTGAACAAGGATCTTACACTTCTCTCTATTCCTCTTACAACTGCTTTCTGCCCAGAAGAGATCCCAGCATGGAGCTGCTTATCTTATGTTAGGTCACATTATAGAGTAGAGGTCAATTGCTAAACTACTGAGAATTCTGGCCCAGCCAAGCTGACATAATACCTAGCTATCACAGATGCATAATGTGTTTCTTTTGAGTCAAAACACTGCCATTTGGCAAAAGAAAGAAAGCAACAACAAAAAAAGAAGAAGCACTGCCATTTGGACGCATCATACAAGTTGTGATATATTGACAAACACTCCTTAGCGACTTGTCACTAAGAGGAGCCGAGTTGATCTGAAAGCAGCAGCAGTAGTTGGTCAGCAAATTACAAGAAGCTTCTGTCTTCTGGCTCAAAATAATCCTGCATTTGGTCTCTGCCATGTTGACATTTGTTCTAAGGAGAAAACACCCCAAATTAAATACCTGCTGAAAATTTACTTAACTTCTTAGTTTCAGTGTTGTCTGTAAAATGTGAATAATGTTAGCACCAGTGGGCATCCAAACTGATTAAGGCACTTGTCTATGATTTAAAAATTGATTGCATTGGGACTTGAAATCAAGTTACTCATATATACTATGTCCAAGGAAAACAAAGGATCATGTCTTAAGTCACTCTCCATTAAGTTAGAGTCAAAGATGTCCCCAAGGAAAAGTCAAGGAAGCAAATGGTGTGGCTTGGTTCACAGAATCTACTAAACCAAACCCCCCACCCCACCCCAAGAAAAACCCAAACAAACAAACTGCCATCAACTTTATGCCTACACAGCAACCTTACAGGGCAAGGCAGAACTGCCTCTGAGTTTCTGAGACTGTAGTTCTTTATGGGAGTAGAAATCCCTGTCTTTCTTCTGAGAAGCAGCTGATGGTTTCAAACTGCTGAACTTGCAGTTAGCAGCCCAATGTGTAATCACTCCAACACCAGGGCAACTACCCTCTCCTAATGTCAGGTCTTAATCCTACCCTAATCCTATCCCTTAGGGTAGCAGAGAATGCCTTCCAAAATGAGACAATAACCACAGGCATATAGCATCCAGGATTATAATGAATCTCATAAGGAATTATGGCTGGAAGGCTATACTAGTTGCCTATAACTCAAATGCATTGGTGAGACAAAGGCCAGGAAAGTTGAGCCAAGGACTCTCCACTCCCCCCCCCCCACTCCCGACAAAAAATGACAATGTACCTGTTCATTCTTCTAGGGGAATAAGGGCTATCCTAGCATAATTTCATGGGGTAAATTTACCTGAGTAAAATCCATTCTATAGCCCTCATCTTGCACTTGAGAATTTTTTGTTCCCCAAACTCAAAGAACATTGAAAAAGCACATGATTCCCTGAGGATGCCAGTCTGTGGTGTTCCTGCCAATCTTGTGTTCATCAGCCCCCAAATTTATGAGTCAGGAGAAGCCTAACATCAGCTTAACATCTGATCCATGGGATTGAAACCAGACTGGATTTGCATGCTTCTACAGCTGTGTGAGCTATTTTCTTGAAATATACTTTTCTCGAAATACACTTTTCTCTCTCTCTTATTCTCTCTGTTCCTATCTATCTATCTATCTATCTATCTATCTATCTATCTATCTATCTATCTATCTATCTATCTATCTATCTATCTCTATAGCTGTATATGGCTGTGTGTGTATCACTGGTCTTGCTTCACTGGAGAACCCGATCTAACAGTCTCCCTTGGTTTTAAAGATGAGGCAGGATTTGGAGTATAGCTTTGTTGCCAGGAAAGAGGAGCCCTGGTGGTGCCATGGGTTAGACATTGGGTGGCTAACTGAAGGGTTGGCAGTTCAAATCTACCAATCTGCTCCCAGTAAAGATTTGTACTCTCTCTATAAGGTTGCTATGAATCAGAATCCATTTAATCACACTGGGCTTGGTTTGTCTGGCTGTCCATAGGCCTAATCTAGGATGTTTGTTCAAGCCAGCTAGCTTCCTGGTCCTCATGTACAAATACGTCACTGGGAGAGGACTGGCATGAAAATCCTTCTCTTCAGTATCCAAACTGTGTATACATGCCTTCATTTTCGAAGCTATACCAACAACCTTTGAATCAAATGATCTCAAAAACCTTTCATTCTATGATTCTATTAAACAATCTTCCTTTATAATGTTTCACTTGTTTAGTTGGATATAGTTGCTACTATAGTCTGAAGTATCTGTCTGGGGAAGTCATGTGCTTTCTCTTGTAGCTAGTGGAATTTTCATGTGACTTTCACACACACAACTTTTGGGGTTTTTTTTTTACAGTTTAATCTTTCCCATCAATGCACCACCAGGTAATCAGGACATACAGGTGTACTTTGTTTTTATTGTACTTTTTAGATTTCATTTTAAAACAAATTGAGCATCCAAGCACCAAGCTAGCCGGCATCAAGCAATTCTAAAGAGGTATTTTTACAACATCGTGTACTCACTCCATATCTGTGCGTCATATTTTGGAAATTCTCACAATATTTGGGGTTCTGAGACTATTACCCTTCACGGGACTAGAAAGCCTCATTGTGTTCCCAAGGAATGACTGCTGGTATCAAATTGTTGATGTTCAACACGTCACCCACTATGCCACCAAAGCTCGTAACCAAACTCTTGGCCATCGAGTTGATTCTGATTCACAGTGACCCTATAGGATGATAGAACTGCCCCTGTGGGTTTCCAAGACCATAGAAGTAATAGAAAGCGTTGTCTCTCTCCCAAGGAGCAGCTGGTGGCTTGAAACTGCTGCCCTGGGGTTAGCAGCCCAACTCATAATCATGATGCCACCAGGGATCCTTTATATACTAGGGGGGGGTGTGGGTGGATCCATGACCTGATTTATTTCAATATCTGCTTCACTGTGGTAGTCTGGAACCAAAACCATCAAATCTCTGAGGTGTGCTTGTCGTGCATTTGCTAGAAAACAGATTTGGAGGAAGGACCAGTTAGTAGGAGTCAAGTTAGTACACAAGCCAAGTGGGAAAAGAAGGAAACAAAGAAGAGGCTCGAGATGTTTCCACAGGTTCTTGTCTAAGAAACAGGCAGAATGATAATGCTAACAAGGTATGCTGAGTCTGAACAACTGATGGTGCAAGCCAGGGCAGGTGAGGCTGCTAAAAATCGTTAGACTAGAAGCCAGGTGACACAATGCGGAGGTGTGTGTGTGTGTACATATATACATACATATAATAGAGAAAGAGAGCGCATCCTGAAGGGCAGCGAAAAGGCAAGATTTTTTAAAAGGACATGGGTACGCCCAGAATTAGGCATAGGACACAAAGATCCATATGATAGCATGTTTGAGTACTAAAGATAATAATGTGCATGCCAGTCCCATCCAATGTCTGAGTTAACCTTGCACAGGTGGGAGGGGTATTAGAAACCTCCTCCCTCACTAAAGGAGGTTAAGGGAAGGGAAGGGGAGTGAAGGGGTTGTCAAAAAACCCTTTTGGCTTATTAACTGATTGACCAAAGATAAACGCTCTGGACTTTTCTACATTCACCAAAATGTAGCCTTTTCAGGTCCACTTGTTTTGTCCCACTTCCTGATTCTCATTCTACTTCCCTCTAGAATTGGGATATGACCCTGAACCTCAGACTGTTTGAAATGAGTTGCCGTGCCTGTGCTAAGCCTGGCACACAGTAGAACGGCGCATCAACTGGTGTCCTGATTTCAGCAGAAGATGTCTACTCCATTCTCAGGAGAACGACAGCGCTTGCTACGCTCATCAAGAGTTACAGCCTCAGAAGCTCACAGAGGAAGTTCTCCCCTGTCCTACCGGGTGGCTATGAGACGACTCTGGCAGTCAGTGCATGAGTGACCTCTCTCCTCACCCTAACCTCAATTAAAAAAAATAAAAATTAGACATATCTTAAACGAATCATATCCATCCACAAACTTTTAGATCTTTGACTATCAGCTTTGTCTGGGAGAGAGCCGCAACTCCTGGGCACTGTCATTTGGTGTTCTACGACCCCTTAGGATGGCAGAAATAAGCAAAGACCCAGGAGAGTGTACGTTCTCTGAAGTTCACGGAGACGTTTGTAGGGTGAGTCAGCTTTCAAGCCAGTGGATTGCTGTGGAAAGGCAAAGGAGAATGAGGATGGCTAGAGAGAACCATTCGTTTTTACAAGAGGTAGCTCATAAGAGCAATGGAAGGAGTGTGGTTTTAGTGGTGTGGTGCAGAAGCTAAGTTGCAAGTGATTTTGAGTGTGTGTGTGTCTTTTTTGTAGTAGAGAAACTCAGACTAAAGGCATTCATTGTGAAATCTTTATTTAACCCTGTCTTTGGGTACCAATCATAAAAAAAACAAACGAACAAACAAAAAAACGTGTTCATAGATATTCTCCCTAAAAAGATACAGTTCTTCATAGCTTCTCATTTCCACCCAATTCTCTCATTTCTTTTCTCTTCAATCTTTCTTCTCTTTTCTCATCTATCCCACTCACCCTTCATTTTCAAGTATGACCCTAATCTATCTGAAATAGAGATATGCATACTTCAAAAAAGGGTAGTAAGATAACAAAAACTCCATTACAGCCTGTCAAGTACTTTTAGGGTCAGAATGAAGAAAAGCACAAGTGAATCAACTTTCATTTCACCATTAGAAGATCACGCCTTCCTAAGCAATGGGGATGCAACTCTGTCCTATGAAAAAAAACCCAGAAACATAGGCCCTCCTTGCTCTGAGCAACTCGGGAGTCAGACTTGGAAATACCAGACAGGGAAAATGTAGGGGAGTCAAGTGAGGGCCCCTGCTACCAGAAAGGCTCCAGACAACAGAGGGGGGGCGGGGACAGGAGCAGAATTCTCTGCAACAACTGTGGAAGCCAGGACGGCCTCTCTCTGGTGCGGCAAAAGACACGTCTTTTCTCCGTGAGGAATGCACTGTTCCTTTTCTAAGCTGTTCTGTTCCCTAGCAGCTTTCCACACCTGACTCAAACCAGACGAGTCAAGGATGCCTTCCCCAACATAAGATGTCCTGGGCAGAGTTCAATCCTCTCATTAGACTTTGTTCCAACAAACGGGTGTTTATTTACAAGTTGACCTACTGGTCCGAAACTCTCTCATCTTGGTATTGCTTGTACTTCACAAAGTGCCTGGCACACAGCTAGTGAATCGTCAATAGTTGGGTGAGAAGAAAGGAGAAGGAAGAGCAGGTTATAGGAAGTGAGAAGAGAGAAAGCCTTTGAATCAACTTTCCAGAGCCCAGGAAAGGGAAATGGATTCAAAGGGAAACTCCAGAGAAAAGGGATTAAGCTGGGGGTGGGGTGGGGGTGTCACAGTTTACTGAGTCATATTCTTTGCTTCCGACTCCTTTGTCTTCCACCCCTCCCCAAACTTGCAACCTTACACCACAATAGTCTCATGTTCACCGTGGTCCCTCAATTCATCTTAAAGGGGAGCAAAGAGGCCAGGCAGACTCCTGACTTCTTCCATGATACCATCCCTTTCCCTAGACCGAGACCTCAAAGTTATCCGAAAAAGAAAATTGCCAAGGTGGTTTGGAGAGCGGAGAGTAGAAAGCAGTGCATGCCGGAAGAGGAAAGAGCTGGATAATGTTTACAGTCCTTCCCCCAAGACTTCTCAGACTCGTTCACGAATAGCCTTTGCACACGGTTCTCCTTGATCCACGGGTCAGAATTATTTCACTGATTGTTTTCTCGTGACCCCGTGGTTACTGGAGCTTCTTGGCTGTTTGCCAGCCAGATATACTTGCCCTCTGAGAATTGTCTCAGGGGCCATAGATCTGGGTGCAGTTGTTCCTGGGTGCAGTCCCCCTTTGCCCAGACATTCAACTGCCTCTCATTCCCTGACCCCTTCCCCCAGGGAGTTCTGGAAGCACTTTCTTTGCGGTGGAATTAATATTTATATATACACAAGAGCAGTTTGTGGGTTCTAACTTTTCACCCAGTAAGAATAACAGAAAACTATTATGAATGAAGCCTACTCTCCCTCCCCTCCTCCTCCGTGTTCTCTAGCCCTTCCTGACTGCCCCCTTCACGCAGCAGGTTTGGCTGCTGGGTGAAGGAGGGGCCCGCAGTGAGGTGTTCCACAGTGGACAGTGTCAAGATGCAGGCAGGCATCTCAGCTCGAGGTCTGGGCAGAGTCCCCAGGCAGAGCCATCGGCCCAGGCCAGGACAATAGGCATGAATCAGGTGGGAGGGGGCGTAAGTACGGTGACTGTAGCCCCCCAGGACGAGTAGCTCCCCCTGCAGGACCGCACCTGCAGCCCCCACGTGGGGGGAGGGCAGAGGTGCAAGGTGAGTCCAGCTATCAGTCCTTGGTTCATAAGCCTCGAAGCTCAGCAAATCCCCAGTCTCACCTAGCCCCCCTGCTACATACAGCCGCCCACCCAGAGCCGCCATGATGTGGCCAGCCCGAGGTACTCCCATAGGGCTCAGAAGTGTCCCTGGAGCCCCAAGTTTGGGGTCATAGTGCATCAAGGAGGCCAGGTATGGGTCTGTTTCATTACAGCCACCGCTCAGGTACAATCGGCCCTCTAAGACAGCAGCAGCGTGGGCAAAGCAAGGCTCGGGAAGTGCAGGTGCTGGCCTAAGGGAAAGCGGGAGGCAAGATCAGGCAACCCTCCTGTTCAACTCACCTTCTATTCTAAGTCCCCTCTCCCTGCCACCAAGTCGCTTCCAGCTGAGCATGACCACACAGGACAGAGTAGAGCTGCTCCTGTGGGTTTCAGAGACTAACTTTCTAGAGTAGAAAGCCTCGTCTTTCTCTCTGGGAGCAGCTGGTGGTTTCAAACTGCTGACCTTGCAGTTAGCAACCCAATGGGTAACCCACTACACCACCAGGGCTCCCTAAGTCTCCTAGCCTAGCCCTAATATCTCAGGAACAACCCCCACCCCTCACCCCACCTCCTTTCCCTGCTTACCTCCAGACATTGAGCTCCGGGTTATAGGTCTCCACAGAGTCCAGGGCCACGCCATTGTCGCGCCCACCTAGAGCATAAAGTTGGCCGTCCAGCACCACTAGGGGGAAAAAGCTGCGAGCCTGGCACAAAGGTGCCTTCTCCTCCCAGTCTTCTCGACTGGGGTCCCATCTGGGCACAGGTGGAGAGAGATGAGGAGAGTGATTCCAGGAGGCTGCGGTAGACTGGAGCCAGCAGTGTCCCCCACCCGCCCACCTTGGGGCCTGCCCACGCACACCTCCTGGGGGCCCGTACCTGAGCATGGAAGCCAAGGTGTTGGAGTGGCTGTAGAAGTCCTGTCCTCCACACACATAGAGCTCACTTCCGGAAAGGCTCGCAGCCCCGTGGCGGAAGCGCCCGGGGGCAGGAAGGGCGGGCAGCCGCCCCCACTCCACGGTTCGAACCAGCCCCATGCCACAGCGGAAGGCCCGAGCCCACCACACCCCTGCCGATGGCTGTCTGACGGCCATGTCTGCTCTTAGCTCATCGCCCCCAATCACCACCAGGGCTCGGTCAGGCTCCCTGCGCCTCTCCTGTCCCGGCACCTCAGCCTCCACCATCAGCTGGTGCAGCAGGTCCGGGGGCAGGAAGGGGGGCAGTCCAGCCGCGCGCACCCTCCGCAGCTCTCTGGTGGACATTCGGCCAAAGCGGACGCAGCGCAGCAGGGCCCTGGCCTCGGACTCCGGGGTCTCCGGGTTGGCAGCCAGCCAGCAGCGCGCAGCCGCAAAGGCCTCCAACTCTTCTTGCACGTGGAGCTCGTCGCTGTCCAGGAGCTCGGCCAGGCAGGCAGCTGGTAAAGAAGGGAACGCGGGGCACAAGGCCACAGCAGGCAGGTGGCTGAGGAGGTAGTGACGAGCTTTGCTCCAGAGCTTCTCCAACCCAGGGGCTTCAGCCAGGGGGAACAGGGCCAGGCAGCGCGCGGGGCTGAGGCGCTGGGCTAAGGCTTTCTGGCACAGAGCCAGGCAGGCAGCGCTCTGGTACTGCAGGGCAGCCTGGGCAGCTCTCAGCAGGCCTGGCCACCTTGCCCGAACGATCCCGGTGTAGGCAAAGGAGACGAGGAGCTGCAAGTCCCGGGCAGAGATGGTTCGAAGAGACACCTCTGGGCCCTGCGACTCCTTCATCCCGCTCAGGAGCATGGCACCAAAGAACTCGCTACCACAGGCGAGGGCTGCGCGGTGCACTGCAGGGCGGGCACAGAGGAAGCAGAGACACAGGTTGTGGCCAGGCTGCCGGACACCATCCCGACTCCGCAACCTTCGGGACGGCGCCAACCACCAGGGCGATAGGCCAAACTGTAGTGTGCATTAGAGGGAAAAAATGGCTTTGGACTTTTGGGTCCGGACAAGTTAAAGAAGAGTCATGGTAGATCGAGTTGAGAGGTGCTATAGAAAGCATTTGGTAGAAGAAAGCACACAATAAGCTAAAAAGACCAGTGTATAATTTATGGAAATCTTTCTGTATCATGCACAGAATATATATATATGTTTTAATTGCAAGAGCCACTGCCACCCACCAGCCTTTCATTGGGAAATTGGTCCTGTTAGGTAGCCAGACAAGGACCAGGGGGGTGGGGGGTGGGAGTGGGGGTTTCCTCCCATGCCTGTACAGGCCCCAGAGAGGGGGTTGGGAAGGAATCAGGCAAGCATTTGCCACCCATGAAGGCTTTAACTGGGCATGCTCCAATTCAAACCCCACACAGGTGGGCTTAATTCAGCCAAGGGAGTCAACCAAGACCTTCAACCTTGCCTCCCCAGCCAGAGGTGTGAAATACCCTGGCAGCGGGAGGCCTGATCTCTTGGAACCCCACTCCCAGTCAGTGGCAGGTCGGAGAGGATTCTTCCCTCTCATTTGACCCTGCTCCTGTTGCCTGTGTTCAGTGGTAAGCCGTGGCACAGCCTAGGCACAGTTTGGCAAGCTTCTCTGAAACAGCGTGTACTCTTTTGAGACTGTAAAACCTGAAACTTCTCCCATCCTTCATAAAAATTCACTTGGACTACAAACCAGACTTCAGCTTTAGGCTTCTCATTTGATGCCTAAAACCGAAGTATTACCCACTCGAGAAACCTAACAGTATCACAGCCCAGAATGACTAGAGCCCAATCTCCAGGGAGTGCCATCTCTTTGGATGCAAGATATAGCATGTAAGAGTTCCTAGGTATCCCAGCTGTCTTGTGTTGTGGCTCCCACTAGGCTATGGTTCATGGATGCCTGAGAAGGGAAATGTGAAAGAAAACTGTTGTGGAATGAATTGTGGGTACCACTCCCCCACCCCCCGCCCCAAATATGTTGTACATCCTAGCCCCTATGTAGTTAGGAGCCCTAATAGTGTTGTGGGTCTCATGTTGGCCTAACAACCAAAAGGTTGGTGGTTTGGACCCACCTGCTGCCCCTGTTGGAGCGGTGTAGCAGTCTGCCCTGGGACCACCACAGAGTAGTTCTAATCTGTCCCAAAGGGCCAGTGTGAGTCAGAATCAACGTGGTGGCAGGGTTTGCCTTTTTTAGACCTGGGATTATAATCCCATTTGGGAATGGGTTTCTTCTTAATGAGACTCTCTCTGTGTGTAGAGGGGCTTCAGTCAATCTCCTGAATTATAAAAGAGCAAATTGAGCAAACAAGCACGCTGAGGAGCTAGCTGCCATGCCACATGGAGATCCCCAAGAAGCAGTGTTGGGTTTCCCAGTAGCGAGGTGAGCACGGGCTTCCTTGTGCTGACTAACCCATCGTGACTAAATCCACGTTTGCACTACATCAAAGATTCCGCTTCCAGGTAGGGCTGACACCTGTTTCCCTCCCAATCCCACAGCACCTTTCGTCAGAATCAAAGCTTCTTTTCAAATTTACAATCTCAGTCAGATACAGAGTAAGCACAGGCTTACTTGGGCATTGCTTATGGGCTAATCTGCCCCTGCCAAGGAATCAAGGTGAAAAGAAAAGTCCCTCCCCCCAGACCCAAGAGAGAGAGAAAAAAGTCTTTCCTTAGAGCTGGAAGCCTGAATTTGGGCTTCTAGCCTCCTGAACTTCTAGAAAAGAAATTTCTGTTTTTTAAAGCCACACACTAGTGGTATTTTTCTTATAGTAGCACTAGATAACAAAATCACACCTTCTCCCAATAAAAGTACTTAAAAAAAAAAGAAAGCAGAAAATTAAAAAAACATACCTTCAACAACCATCTGCTTCAAGTTACTCCTTTTAAGACAAACAAACAAGATAAAGAAACAAGCCCCCCAACCAATCCCATTGCCACTGAGTCTATTTCAACTCATGGTGCTCCTATACAGGGTCTTCAAGGCTGTAAGTCTTTACAGCTGCACACAGTCTCATCTTTCTTCCTCAGAGCAACTGGTGGGTTTGAACCACCAAACTGGCAGTTAGTTGCCCAACACCTAATCCACAGCAACACCAGGGCTTCCTTAAGATAAGGAAAGTGAGGGGGACAGGGAGGAGAGTGGGAGGGGGAAAATGAGGAGCTGGTATTAAGGGCTCAAGTAGAAAGCAGATGTTTTGAGAATGATGATGGCAATGGATGTACAAATGTGCTTGACACAATGGATATATGTATGGATTGTGATAAGAATTGTAGGATCCCCCAATAAAATGATTTAAAAAAAAGATAAGGGAAGTGATTTGGTTACCATTTGCATGGAGTGGCAGTCTGAGCAGATTATCACTATCCAGTCACTGATATCAGGCAGCCATGGACATGCTGCTGTATCTGTAGACTGGCTATCTATACAGCCTTCTTGTCCCTGAAACTGTCCTAGTCACCACCAAACCACTTATGGCTCCTGGGATAACTCAGAGATATATGCACAGCAGTGCCTATTGAGTGTTCTGACCAAACTATTTTGCCTAAATCTAATCTAGCCTTTAAATTTAAGTTAGTGTTTACAGGACGTTGAGAAGCTGAAAGAACCAGTTAGACAAAATCCTGAGGGAAACTTTTCAAATCTAGAAAATGGACCATTCTATAGGATGCCTAATCTTATTTCTTTAAGAACTCACCATAGAGAAGGAACGCAGGACTATACTGGATTATAAGATGCTTCAGATACACACAACAGTCAGTCCCTGATTGCTTCGGGGTTCTTTCGACAAGTGGAAAAATATAAATGGAGACAGGTAATACTACGGAGGTATTGTTAATTTGTTGTGGTTCTATGGGAAAATGCCCTGTTATAAGAGCTACATGTCCAAGGACTCATGAGTGAACTGTCAGACATCTATTTAAACTTCACTAAAAACAAAGGAAGTAAAGAGATGAAGCAAACATAATTAAAATGCTAATTGCTAAATTGCATGATTTAGTGCTTGGGCATTCATATTCATAGTCACGTTTACTTCATTATGTGTTTAAAGGAAACAAACAAGCAAAAGCTGCTAGGAATCCTCTCAGGTGGGTCACACATAGGAGGTGAGCTACAAGTCTAATGAATTCCAGGCTGCTGTGACCCGTGGTGACATGCCAGCCTGTCTCAAAGGCCAGGGGATGAAGATATGACTTTTTATGTGCAGCAGGCAGTGGATTGTTGTTTTCGAAGTAGTAAACATCAGTGACTTATTTATATATATATATATATATATATATATTTTTTTTTCCCCCTGAGGGAAAAACTGCATTCCTGGAAGCAGAATAAGCAACTTCACTTCCATGTCATCAATCAACCTGGCACTTCAAACACAACGGTGCGAGAGTACTACTCACACCACACCTAAACCTTAGTCAGAATCATCCCCTGGGGGTTTTTTAGTGACAGGTCCCCACCAATACATTGGGATTATTCTTACGGAAATGAAAGCACTGGCGTACGCTTAAATTCCAAATCAACGCTGGCGAGGAATATATAATGATAGAATTTGGAATTCCAGCTAGTGCTACCAGAAAGAACACTTTCCAGATTATTTTCCTCTCGGGAATTCCAGATGTCCTTTGAATTCTCTAATGAGTAATAGCTAGGTGACTGTGGACATGTCTTGAAATCTTATATCTTTACAGTGTCCATATTCTGACTCCATTTTCCATACGTCCACGGGCAGCAACTCTGATGGAAGCAGACTGGCCCAGTGGGTCTGGCCCAGCCAACCTCTCTGAGTGGAATGGTCCTTACCTGGACCAAGGATAATGGCACCGATCTCACCAGCTTTCATTGAGAATTAGCAGAGGTGGCAGGTGGACAGTTCCTGGCATCCAGTGCCCCATTAGAAGTCACTGGACTCTGAATAACACTTCACGTATTTGCTACTTAGCTTTCCTGGTGTCGTGCCTGGCAGTGTTAAGATTTTGGCAAAACCAGTACTAGTTCAGTGGCTGCAAGGATCCACGAGCCTGCCACGATGTTCAGCACGCTGAGGAGAAAGGACACACTGAGTCTATCCACTGGGCTTCACTGGATTTTCCTGTGTCCTGAATAGACGATGCCAAGAAACAAACGTCTTTGGCTCATCGCTATTTCTGTGAGTCACTCTGCTTGTTCTACTGCCATGGATCGTACCCTTAGTCCCAGCCAGCTGGCTGGAAAGGCCTTGTTTCTGTGCGCTGGAGAAGCCAGAGAGACTGGTGGGTCAGCTTAAATCTGTCAGGGCTCCTAGGAAAACACCTCAAGTGCGCATGCCTCACCCTCAGTGGGTCAGGACAGGCACAGAAGGCCACCCCAGGGACATTCTGTCTGCAGCAGGCGTCAAACCACGGCCGTGGGGAATTATGCCATCGACAGTTTGCACACACCACTCTCCAGGGTGCAGCACCTGCACCCGCAGGCACCTAAAAGCCCACAAACCCTCCTCACCCTTCATCAGGCAGCCTCCTGCCTCCAGCTCCAGGTCACACCCGACGCCCTCTTGGTACAGGAGCTCGATGCCACGCAAGTTCTCTCGCAGCTCCTCTGCCTGGCTCGTCTTCTGGGCCACAGCCGTCACCCGGGGCGCCCCCAGCGCCTCGGCTGCAGCCAGCACATCGCGCAGCGGGGCCGAACCCAGCACCCCCTCGTAGGCAAAGGTCAGCACTGCCTCCCAGGCCCGGGGGGCCACGTCGAGGCTGAGCGGGGTCTGCGGACCCCCGCCGCGTAGCAACCGGTCTCGGAAGAGGCTGCTGACGGCGGCCAGGACCACCCGGTGCGCTCCGTACACTCGCCCGCCGACAGCCACCTGCTCGTCCAGCAGCAGCCCCTGCTCCCGCAGCCGCCGGGCCTCGGCGAAGAACAGGCCCGGGTGCTCGTCGCTGCACAGCTCCTCCGGCTGCGCCGCCGCGTCCCCACCGCCCGCATCCTCTTCCTCCTCCTCCAGGGACCAGGCTGGCGAGGGAAGGGGCCCCGGGGCCAGGGCGGGCTCTCCCAGAGGAAAAGGGTCCTGGTCCGGAGGAGGCTGGGAGGGCGCTCTCGGGGCGGGCAAAGGGAAGTCAAGGCCGCCCTTCGGGCTCGGACGGGAGGCGCGCCCGGGGTGCGAGGGACAACAAGCCGTGCCCGGGAGGCTCATGGCCGTGGCTGGCTGGAGTCAGGCAGAGATGAGCAAAGGCAACAGAGGAGAAGATCACAGCAGGACGAGAGGCCAGAGGAGCCCTACCTCCGGCCCCGCCAATCGTCAGCCCCTCCCGCCGTCCCACCCGTCTCCATCCTCCCAAGGCGACACCCCCAGGCACCAGCAGCTAGGCGACCCCAGCGCAACCAGGGCGCTCAAGTGCAGGGGAGCGTGCAAGCCGCGTGTATTAAGATCCACTACCCCGCCGGGCCAGCGCGCCTCCAGTCCTCTCGCTGGGCCGCTCGCCGGGGCTTGCACGGCAGAGGGCTTGCGCTCCGCATCCTGGTCCAGAGCCCCACTGGCTAATTATAGCCCAGGCTGGCGGGCTAGGGGCTGGGCTCCCGGTGCCCGAACTCTGACACCCAATCCCTAGGCCCGTCCCGAGATGACCCCTCCCCTTCCACCTGTAGGTCACGCCAGGGTGCTGAGCTAAGTGGATTCTGAATTCTTGGAGGATGTGGAAATGTGAGGCCCCAGGGCAGAAAGAGTGCGCTCGCTGGAAAGTTCAGGGAAGCGGGCGAAGGGGACTTGAACTGCCTGGTGGATGGGCAGGGACACAGAGCGAGAGGAGCGGACAGAGGACGTGCTTTGGGTCCGCCCGGACTTTTCTGCTGACGATAATGCTGGAACCTTGAAGTGAACGATACAGCTGTGCAGTATAAACATAGCTAGGCGCGGGCTGGCTCTCTCCACACACCCCCCATCCCCGGCAGAGGAGTTCGATGGTGGCTAAAAGGCTAAATTACGGAAGTGAAGGAACTGGAATCTGGCATCCTAAGGCAGTTTCATTTGGGGGCAGAGGTAGGACCGGTGGGGAGATCGCAACCCTGAGCAGCTCTGACAGAGCTATCTGTTAAGCATATCTGGTGGAGTTGCACTGCAAACCTCCAGGTCGGCTGTTCAAATCCGCCAGGGCCTCCAGGGGAGAAAGACACTACTATTTGTCTCCATTAAAGATTCACAGCCTCTGAACCCTTAAAGGGTGTTTATGAGTCGGAATAAGGTGCCCTGATGGGGATGTGATCCGCATTTCGAATCCGCCAGCAGCTGCAAGAGAGGAAGGCTGGGCTTTCTACTCCGGGAAACAGGTATAGTTTAAGAAACCCACCAGGAGGGTACTTAAGAGTTAGCATGGACTCGATGGCAGTGCTTTCCACTCCCCTAGTCTCAGACATTTCCAGGGTTCCTATAGGTTCACTGAGAGTTGGCAGCTCGATGACCCTTGAGTTTTGATTTTCTGATATTAAGGTCACTGTCTTTTTCTTTTAAAAAGATTACTAATTGGGCGTTAATACATATACCATTCCATAGTTTGATTACACGACACAGTATTGTACAATTGCTACCACAATCAGTTCCCATTCTTTTTCTTCTTGCACTCTTGACATCATCTTTTATACTGTCTACTCATCGCCCATCACTGAGTCGTGATGGTTGTAGATGTGAGTTGGAATAGATTTGGTCGTTTGGGACCTGTAACCCTCTCGGTGGCCTCCCAGTGGCAGGTGTGTTCTATCTCAGGTGCTAAGGGTGTGGAATCTTGCATTCGATGGCTTAGGGGGCAGCATGCATTTGGGCTTTTGGAGGGAAGGAGCTACACCATCATCTTGGACAATGCATCTTATGCATTCTGAGATTAGGTCCTCAGCTGAAGCCCCTAGGCAGAGATCCAAGTGTCTACATTAAGAGATTTGGATTAGTGTAAAAAGATGCAGACTACGATCCCAAGTATAGAGCTAGCAGACATTGTACTTTGGCTTGGATCTCGCGCCTTGAGGGTGCCCAGTGAATGCTGGACCCCAGCTGCCATATACTTACATTGTAATGCCATCCTTGCGACATATATTAATCTGGTAGGCCTGGTTCAGCCAGTTAGTGAATATTAATGAAAGTTTTCCTTTATCACCTCATTGTGTACATGGTGTCCAGTCACTTAAAAGTTTAATCTGTACAAGTCAGCAGTTCATGTATTGTGGTTCATAGCTGGCCTATACTTGTACAATTTCCTCTCCTCAAATGTGTTTTAAATTCTATACCATTGGCTAAATTAAGGATATTATCAATAGCAAGACTTTATGCCCCAGGGGAAAGACTCATAAAATGACAATGATGCCTTCTCTAAGGTGAGCCAGACACAGACGTAAGCCATAGATATGAGTGGATTGGATTTGGGGCTTGCACTTCCTTGCAGCCCCAATCTAAGTACAAGACAGACAATCGCAATGATAGAAGAGAAATGAATTCAAGAGCTCCTCTGCCTGGTGGGGCTGAAGGTAATAGCGACACACGAAAGTGAAGAGCAGAGGCCGACTGCTGGATTTGCAAGTTGAAGCTGGAGTACACAAAATACCTAAGTGCTACAAAACCTTTATTGCCACTTTTGCAAATGCAGAGGTTGGCATGATACTTGGTAAATTACTCCAAAGCCCCAAAAGGGGAGAGATTTTTGTACATAGATTCCAATCTTTTTGGTCAGACTTTGTGCACAAGTAGTGTACACAAATTTTTCCCAGGGATCACCAACTCATCTCGTGTCTCCCAAACCGCCTGGTGTCAGTTACATCTCTATTAGGAGGAGCCTGGGAAACATTTTTTTTATGAGCATTACACCTTTTTTTCTATAGAATGCTCATTATCACTATGTCGGCTCAGTTGTCCCAAATGTCTCCACTCCAGTCACTGATCTCCAGAGGCTCTGCCCACCTCCACAATGCATGCTCCACAGCAAACCTCTGAAGGGCAGATACAACCTGCCATCTTTGCCTACCACCCACCCTCCCTGAGCCTTCATCAACCATCTGCTGGGGATGCTCCTGACCACAACCCAGCAGATAAGGCACTAGTTCCTTGGGTAACAAGGCTGAGAAATGTACTACAGGGAATGACTGCCTTAGAGCTTGTCCCCTGCTTATAGCAGCCTCCACTCATCTGTCAAGTCTGCTGTACTGTGATGACTTGTGTGTGATGCTGAAGTCAGGCAACCAGTATTTTATGAAAATACCTCATGGTGAACAGGTTTCAGCACAGCTTGCTGATTCAGACAAGGAAGAGGCAGTTCATTTCTCAAAAATTCACTCTCACTGCCACCTAGTTGATGGCATCTCAGAGACCCTAAAGGATAGAACTACCCCTTGGGTAGAAAGCCTCATCCTTCTCCCGCAGAGTGGCTGCTGGATAGTGCTAACTTTGTGGCTGGCAGCCCGACATGTAACTACTATACCACTGAAAATTTTATGAATGGCAATGGAACACTGTGAAGTCTAAGGGGCACCTGACCTAAGCCATGATTATTTTCAATCTCCTCAAATGCATATGAAAGCTCAACAATAAAGAACACATAAAAATGAATGCATCTGAATTATGGTGTTTGCGAATATTACCGTGAAAAGTACCACAGACTACAGAGAAAAACAAATAGTATAGCCAGAATGCTTCTTAGAAGCAAGGATGGTGACTTAGTTTACATGCTGTCTGGAGAGTCCAGTCCTTGGAAAATGACATTTATGTGTGGTAGGTGACCGGCTAAAAAAAGGAAGACTGGCAAGGAGATGGACTGACACAATGGCCAAGGCAATCGGCTCAAGGTAACTGTGAGGGACAGAACCAGGCAGTGTTTTGCTGTTGTACACAGGCTGCAACCAGTTGGAGCTCACTAGACAGCTTGGATGTGTAGACAAACCTCAGCAAGAGCCCCTTGATTGGGCATGTCATTTGTAAATCGACCATAAACCACTTACAGTCCCATAAGCCTCTGGGCTAGCTAATTCACGAAACTTCCTCTTCTTCCTAATCTAACCCTTCACTATGACTGAAGTGAGTCAACCTGTAGCCACCAAGTGAACCCTAACTCACAGCAACACTACCCTGGATCTGTCTTTGTGTTGACTGCGACTATGGAACATTTCCGAGGCTATAAATCTTTACGGGCGCCTAAGTCCTTATCCTGAGGAGTGGCTGGTAAGTTTGAACTGCCAACCTTGTGGTTTGCAGTCAGCACTACTAGGGCTCCTCCTACACTGGAGAGGGCTAACAATCCTAGCTGAAGGGAAACCTCCGAATCCCCTCTATTCTTTCATGTAAGAAACATTTTCTAGAAAGTTGTATGGTCACAGAGGATGATTTCTTTGGTATGGTCTCCATCTTCATCCACTTGGGCACTGCTTTCTTGCCTGGGGCCATTATAGCTAAAGACCTCAAGACAAGCAGGAATGGTGACAGTGTCTAGGTATGGCAAGCAAACCGTCTCTCCCCACCTCCAGTCCCGGAAGGCTTTTGTTCCCAGCACTCTGTGGTAACTAACCTACCTCCAGGGGAACTTCCTTTTCATCCTGTGGACCACACTTACTTACCTGTCATCTCTGCTCCAAGTGGTCAGGTCTTCCTCACTTAGTTTTTGTGCAGAATGGTCCAGAGCCCTGGATTCTGCCTTCCCAAGAGACTCAGGCACGGGTGATGAAACGACTAGGAAGCGTTCACCAGTCACACTAACAGTAGTTACAGATACCTCCCTCTCCCAGCCCCCCACCGTTTGTCGCCATTTCTCCATAGCCCCGTGGTCGCTCATGACACAGTCCTTTGAGTATTAAAGGACTCAAATGGAAGTATGGAGTGCAGAAGCAGATAGCTTTACTCCTGGCTTATAAATTAACACAAAATTCAGACTTGGCTTCGGGTTATTCTGAGTGAAGTCCTGGGACCAGGATGTTAGGACAGTTGGTGTTCACAGGTCACTATGAGGCAGATTTGACTTGATGGCTTTGGGTATGGTTGGTTTTATTTTAATGCAGCATCAGAGCAATACCTATGATTTCCCATCAGTCTTGTCTCCTGGGCCTTCAAAGCTTCCTTGCAATTAGCTAGCGCTCTGCTCTGACCAGTCTTCTTACCCATTCACTCCATCAACGAGAACGTACACAGCGCCAAGTCTATATTGGTCCTCAACCAACCTACAACCCCCCCAAATACTTTATTGCTGAGTCATCTCAGTGTTTGAATGAAGGGAGAGAAGAGTCTAGGATTGCCACATCCAGGTAGCAATCAAGGCCCTTGGGTCCTACGTAGAGAACCATCTACTCTGATCGGTCATGTCAATCTTGTTAGTCCCTCCAGGTCACTTCTACTTCATCCGTCCGATACCTGGGGAAGAACAGGAACACGTAGCTTAGGGCTATCCATTAGTACCACCCATCCTTCGCTGCCCTCTAGATTGTGGACCCCCTTTCTGGCCGTCCTTGCATCTCTCTCATACAATCCTACGGCCCCTCCCAAGGGTAAACCCCTCACACCTTTGTGTGATCCCAGAATCACTAAGTGGGGTCCTGTGTCCAGCCTGGAACATCTCCCAGCCAGCCTGGGCTATCATGGCTCCATTGTCAATGCAGAATCTGAGAAAGAGAAAGGGTGTGAAGTTTGGACTCTCAAGCAGAAAAATCACAGTGACAGGCGAAGATAAGATGAATTCAAGATCAGGGCCTCACCTCTCATCTGTAGCAAAGAGCCGAGCTCCCCGTTCCTGACACATTGTTTCCATCATCTCCTGAAGCCTTATATTACCTACACCAAGGGGTAGGGGACAGGGTTCGCTTAGTTTGAGGACATTTTCCCATGGCTGAGCTATATATTTCATGCATAATTTACTGAGAAAAATGAAGCAGGACTTGTGAGGCCAGGGCTGGGTTGAACAGGGTAAGAAATCAAACTATGGGTTTCCCCAAGCTCTGACAAGATTTAGAGTATCAAGAGGGAGAGACAGAGTGCTCAAGAATGATCTGGAGACACAGTGTTCGGCAATACGTACACCCCACACCTCCCACGATGAGGGCCTCTTGGGATCCACAGTGCGCCATGGCTCGCTCTGTGATCTCTACCAGCATTGCAAACACAGTTTCCTGTCAGGGTGAGAGATGACGACAACTTCAAGGGCACCCTCCCAACTTAGTTCTGCTCCCACATAAAAACTCTCCAGTCCCAACCTCCGTCACCACTTTTCACTCCCTTACCTGCAGAGAGAAACAGAGGTCCTCAGGAGTACACTCGCCTGTGCCCAGCATGCGCTGGGCTGCCTCCTACAATTAACGGGGGTGGGAAACAGTGCTTAGGAGGGTCCGGCGGAGTGGCAGTCGGCATACTGCGAGGATCACTTTGTTCCACCATGTTTCAGGCGACTAGTACATCTTATGCCACACTCGACTTCACTGGCACCTGGTTCTAGAGTGGCAGCATTTATTCAATAATTACTTCTTGAGCACCCGCCCCAACATTCCCTGCCCCACCTCTTACCCAGTCCATGCTCCATCTCTATTGCCTCGAACAGTGTCCGGCACAGAGAAGACGTTCAGTTAAGGTATGTGCTAAATGAATTTGAGCATCAGATCTAAGCTCCCACCACACTATGTCCTGAAATTTCAATGATGAACAAAATAGACACATTCCATTGCAGAGGCATGAAGGTGCCCCCTTCTCCCCCCTCGTACACTTACCTCAATGAAAGACAGGATCCCCGAGAAGGACACATCCATCCCCTTTACAGTGTACGGCAGCTCCACTAGCTTCTTGCCTCTGTGGGGGAGCGATTGAACGAGACACTAAGGCTATAGCCAGCTAGCTGCTCCGTACCCGCCCCCCACCCAGAGTTCCTGCCGATGCTCACATGTACGTATAGACACAAGGAAACCCGCAAAGCCCTACCAAGCAGCCTCCCTTCACTTTATCGTGTCCTCTCACCGCTTTGCCATCTGTTCAATGTTGTAGCCTGGACTTGGGTCATTGGAAATCTGACAAAGAGAAAAACAGAAAACAGACCGAGAGATGATGAGGGCAGAACCCAGGAACCATGAGGAAATTTATGTACCCACCCCTCCCTCCATTTCTAGGGCTCCCCAGAAATTCATTCGCATCTTAAATTCTCTGCAGTCCCGTTAGCTTACCTTTAGTACTCGAGCAAAGCGGTCCAGGCAATTACCCACAGCAATATCGATGGTTTCCCCAAAGATGCGGTAGCGATGTTCTGAGTAGGCAATCACCTAAGGGTGGTGAGGATGTCCATGAAAGCTCAAGTCTGTAAAGAGGAGTATTTGGCTTTGGGAAGAACACAGCGGAGGACCAACAAGGGCACTAACATACCAATGAAGAAACTGTCGATGTGCTCTCCTAAATCCTGGATGGGCAATTTCCCAAAGCTCTTATCTAAGAATTCCCAGAGCAGAGTCTTAATTTACAGAAGACATTCTAGGCTGGGGGAGAAGCAAACTGACAATTTATGTATGTTTCTAGCTTGGAGACTCACGGCTTGCTCCTGAGCAGTTTGGAAAATGTGGATGCTTGGATGTAGAGAACCAGAGCCCTTCTAGATTAGACTAGCAGGATGGTGGCATTTGGAAATAAGGGAAGAAGCAGAGCTAAAGAACCTAAAATCCTACATTGGGCCAGATTCAACTCAGCATTGACAAATGACTTAGGTGTATTCAAAGCCAGCGGTTTGAAAACCATTAGCCACTTCTTGGGAGAAAGACAGGGCTTTCTATTTCCAAACAGAATTATAGTCTTGGAAACTAACAGGAGCAGTTCTACCTGTCCTATAGGGTCACAATGAGTCAGCATCACTGGAGGGCAGTGGGGTTGGAGAGATTTTCATTGGGAGATTTTAGGTTTGGAAAATGTTCACACTCTTAGAATAACACACTCCATATATTTACTATCAATAATAAAGGCATAAATCCAGTAGTGCCCCTTAGTCTTAAATGCTTAATATAAAAAAAATGCTTCAAAACATAAAAACTCCTTGTTATGGTGAAGGCTTCAGTCCTTACCAGCCTTCCATTTTCCAATGGAAATCCTTACACATATCTAAGTCACAGTCAGGGTGCTGTATAGCACCGCTGAAGCAGACAACTTCCTCTAGTTTTTTAATGCTTCTTCCCACCCACTATCACAACCCCAACTCTACCTTACAAATCCAGCTGGACCAGAGCATGTACACGGGTACTGAAAAGAGCTGAAACACAGGGAATCCAGAACTGATAAACCCCTCAGGACCAAAAATGAGAGTAGCTGTACCAGGAGGGTAAAGGTAAGATGGGGGTAGAAAAGGGGAGCTGATCACAAGGATCTACATATAACCCCCTCCTAGGGGGACAGACAAAAGAAAAGCGGGTACAGGGAGACATCAGTCGGTGTAAGACATGAAAAAAAAAAAGTATAAATTATCAAGGGCTCATGAGGGAGGGAGGGAGGGGAAAAGGGTGAGGAGTTGATACCAAGGGCTCAAGTAGAAAAATGTTTTGAAAATGATGTCAACAAATGTACAAATGTGCTTGACACAATGGATGTACGTCTGGATTGTGATAAAAAGTTGTACGAGGCCCCAATAAAATGATTAAAAAAAAGTTAAACAACAAAAAGTTACTCCATACTGATGCCCACGTCTGCTATGTTACAAATGCTGCTATGGACACTTTAATTGGAGGTTCAGATGAGCCCAGTATTATCCCTGCAGTTCCCACCACTAATAAAGAACATATAGGTACAGGAAGGGCACTTCAGAAATTAAAAGGGTGTGGTAGTTACATAATCTGGTGTGAATTTGAGGATTCAGAGTGAAGGGGTGGAGTCCAGCCTGTCAATCAGGTCATATCCAATGATGACTCTGTGTGGGCATGGCCTTCTTCTGAGGATTCTGGGAACTCCCGCATTCCTCCCTGGAGGCAGGAGACACACTCTCTGCTCACTCCCTTCCAGACATCCCTGAGAAGCCACATGGACCTACCCTGATGCAGCTAGAACCCTGGACCTGGAGAAGCCACATGGAGACCCCTACCAAGCACTGAGATGCTTACAACGCCATTGGATCCTCATGACTTCCTACCCACTGGCCTGTGATCTTCCTGCATTCGGTGTCACTGCATGTGTTTCGTGAGTCTGAAGAGGACTTTCTCTAGTGTACACGAACTAACACAAAGGGTATGGGTGGAATACTCTGTATACCTGAGTATTTCCTCCGCTGACATAGAGCACAGTGGGGCTGGTGGCTCCAGTGATGAGGCGGCCCATCTCAATGTGTCCTATACAGTGGTTCACTGCCACCAACGGCTTATTCCATAGCTGGGCCACAGTACGGGCAACGACAGCCACAGAAGCCAGTGGGGCACCCATGCCAGGACCTAGGGAGTTAGAAATAGGAATCAGAATCTTACAGAGCTTAGGAGAAACAGGGGTGGGTGTGGGTGTGAGAGCTTAGGTAGGCTTGGTGGTGGCAGCAGAGGTGAGGCACGGGCTATTTTGACAGGCTCCAGGCATAGTTTTCCATTGTTGGCCACTATTCCCGTCATACCTTTGGTGAAGGCAACACAATCAATATCCTGGGAGGTTAATCCAGCCTCTGTTAGGGCCTCCTCCAACAGGTCTAGGATAACCGCTCGGTGGTGCCTGGCAGTATCCCCTGGTTGGAATCCTAGGAGGGAGAGACACACAGGGTCAGACATCAGAGGTATTTTCCCTGAAACAACAGTGGGTCGAAGAAAAAGGAATTTTGGTATTGTAGGAAGTGTCCCTTTCTCATGAAGTATTGTGGCTTCAGGTTCTCAAAGACATTCTTTCACAATTAGTTTCCAGCCTCTATGTAGGCTATTTGGCAGAAAGCCAAATAATTTTCTGTTCCCGTACAGGTTATCGTCTCAGAAACTCAAAGGGCCTATCAGGTGGCCATAAGTCTGGATCCACTTTGGTTTAGGGTTTTATATAGGCTATTAAAGAGGCTAGGCGACACAATGGTTAGAGTGCTCAGGAGTTTAATGAATGGTTCGAACGCCACAGCTGCTCCTGGAATAAAAACGTGGTAGTCTACCTCTGTTAGGACTACATCCAAAACCCACCGCCATCGAGTTGATTTTGATAATTGATCCAATACCAAAGCTTTGTATATCTTTTACGAGAGCATCAGCCTGGCACTGATGCTTAGTATAAATGCACATAAAGTATGTCCGACTCCACAGCAGACTTAGGACATCTGTCTTAGTTCGGCAGTCGGCAGTGATTGTCTAGCAAGCAAAAAGAACTCAACAAAGTTGCACGAATCCTTAAGACTCAGGTTCGAGTGACTGTGACTTTTCTACCCACCTGTCTCGTGACCTTAAAAACTGTCAAGCACTATCAATAGGCTCCGGATCAAAACCGGTAAGTGGGGATAATGCATCCCTGTCACCGGCGTTTAGGAAAACAGGTGGTGATGCTGCGCGGCGTCAACTGCACGCCCGTCCCTCGCCTACCCGTGCCAGGAGGAGTGACATAAGTCCGCCGCGGGTTCGCCAGCACAGTGCCATCCCGCACCACTCCCACGCCGATCTTGTTGGCGCTGCCTTCGAAGCCCAGCACCGCGGGCATGGCCGAGTCTGAGGAAAAGGCCGGCAGGGCTCGGGGTAACCTAAGGAAGCCCGCCGTGGCGCGCGTTCCGCCTCAGATTCCGGGGCGAAAAGGAAGAGGTGGGGCCCCGGGCTGCAAGGCCGCAATCCGCCAGGAAGACGTCCAGAGTGCTCCCCGCGGAACGCCCACACCGCCCCGCCCTCGGCGTCACCGAGCCCCGGGAAGGACCCCTGCAGGCGTCTGTCCTCCTAACTGCCAGACGCATTGAGCGGGCATATGCCACTCACGTTCCTATCTGTTCCCTAACATTGTTTTCAGTGATCCAGCCCGTCCTTCTCTGCCGATTTCTCCCCTCTGGCACCACACTGGGAGCTTCCCTCAGCGTCGCAGGATGAGTCGTTCTTCTGGCACAAAGATAGACAGCCCCAAGATGTAGGGCTGGGGCCTTCGGTTCCCTGGAGTAATAAAGCTGGACGCGAAGGCCGGGCTTCCCCGTCACGTGGCAACAGACTGGCCAATCACCCGCATGCCTCGGCCAGGTGCCGCTTACTCGGGATCACGTGACCACGCCCGGGACCCACGTGGGGCCACAGCGCGCTCCATTCTTTGTGCCTGGGTGAGGAGGACCCTGGCTGGGCCCCGAGCAGGTCAGATATGAGGGTGCTGGGCTTCTGCCCGTAGAGTGGTTTTTCTGGAGGTGTGGCGGGTCGACCTGAAGCGAGGCCCGTTATTAAGATCTCCGGTCGGCTAGAGGGCAGGCACTGCGAGGAGGGGCCAGCCACCGTAAAGCAATTGAGTCCAGCGGGTGTGGGGCTGGAGGGCCTATGATGTCCGGAGGGAGGGAAGACTTCGTACTGGTGCGGTCGAGGCCAGATTTGGTAGGATAACGGGGGAGGGGTCTCTTCCCCAGCCTCAGCTGGTTTCACCATTTCTTTGTGTCTGTAGGTAGCACAGTAAAAAGCTTGCTTCGGGGGACAACGTGGAACTGGTGCCTTAAGGCATTCATTGCAGGGATGCCAAAGCGTGGAAAAAAGGAAGCCGTGGCCGAAGACGGGGAGGAACCCAAGACCGGTAGGAGTGTAAAATAAGCCCCTCCCTTGGGTGCTGCGGTGGGGGTGTTTCCAATGCGCCCATGAAGGAAGGGGAAGTAAGAACAACGCACTCTCACTGGTTGTGTCATGAAGTGTCAGTAATGCAAGTTTTTGGTGGGCATACGATAACCCCAGGTCAAGGGTGAAGCCCACCAGTATTTATCACCGCGTACTGTGTATTCGTTTTACAGAGCCAGAGGCCAAGAAGAGTAAGGTGGGGGCAAAGAAAAATGAGAAAGAGGCAGCGGGAGAGGGGCCAGCCCTTTACTCCGACCCTCCGGATCAGAAAACATCTCCCAGTGGCAAAGCTGCCACACTTAAGATCTGCTCGTGGAATGTGGATGGTCTTCGAGCCTGGATTAAGAAGAAAGGTTTAGATGTGAGTGGACTTGAAATGGGAAGAGAATTTCTCAAGTTTAAATGGTCTTGAGGTTTAATCACGGGTCTCATTTTAGTCCCTAGCCATTACTTTCCCTTGCTTGTAATTATCCTGTAGGAGACAGATAACAGTAGTTCTACCAACACTTGCTAGTTGAATCCCTAAAATGGTTATTCCTTCAATCTTACTGCCATTGTCGTGATCTCCATTCTTTCAGGTGTTGCAAAAACCCATGTTGGACTTTAACAAACTTCTAATAGATAGCCTTCATGCTAATAACTGCTGCCTAAAGTCTTCCCTATCCAATGCATGGAGGGAAAAAAATTTCTTTTGTTTGCATCGTAAGACCCTTCGCAAATCCCTTTACTATTGTTTTGTAATTGGTTAAATACTGTTGTGTTAGACTGTTTATGCACACTCACTCACCTGTGAAGCCCTAGTGGTGCTGTAGGTCCACAAATCCCTTTACTTATTGTTTTGTAATTGGTTAAATACTGTTGTGTTAGACTGTTTATGCATGTTCACTCACCTGTGAAGCCCTAGTGGCGCTGTAGGTTGTTAAGTGGCTAACAGCAGCCTTGGCAGTTCAAAACCTGCCAGCAACTAACTGAGAAAAATGAGGCTATCTGCTGTCTTAGAGATTTAGTCTGAGACCCTTTCACTGGTTGCTTTGAGTTAGAATCAATTTGATGGCAGTATTTTTTGGTGTGTGTTTGTTGGTTGAACTATATAGAGGCTAAATGTCAGAATTGCTAAGACTTTTTCTAATCTTCACCACCTAGTGGGTAAAGGAGGAAGCTCCAGATATCCTGTGCCTCCAAGAAACCAAGTGTTCGGAGAAAAAACTACCAGCTGAATTGCAAGACCTGCCTGGACTATCTCATCAGTACTGGTCAGCGCCTTCGGACAAAGAAGGGTATAGTGGCGTGGGTCTACTCTCTCGCCAGTGCCCGCTCAAAGTCTCCTACGGCATTGGTGAGACCCTCTCTGATTCCCACACTTCCTTACTCTTCCAAACCAATTACTAGTAACCCATTCCTTGCCAACTTTTGATTCCTACCCCTTTTATTAATCTTTCTCTATGCCGAGTCTCTGCCATTTTCTCCATAGGTGAAGAGGAGCATGATCAGGAAGGCCGGGTGATCATAGCTGAATATGACGAGTTTGTGCTGGTAACAGCCTATGTACCTAATGCAGGCCGGGGTCTGGTGCGACTGGAGTACCGGCAGCGCTGGGATGAAGCCTTCCGCAAATTCCTGAAGGACTTGGCTGCCCGCAAGCCCCTAGTGCTATGTGGCGACCTCAACGTGGCCCACGAAGAGATTGACCTTCGCAACCCAAAAGGCAACAAAAAGAATGCTGGCTTTACTCCACAGGAGCGCCAAGGCTTTGGGGAATTGCTGCAGGCTGTGCCGTTGGCCGACAGCTTCCGCCACCTCTACCCAGATGTGGCCTATGCTTATACCTTTTGGACCTACATGATGAATGCTCGATCCAAGAATGTTGGTTGGCGTCTTGATTATTTTTTGTTGTCTCATTCTCTGTTACCTGCGCTATGTGACAGCAAGATCCGTTCCAAGGCCTTAGGCAGCGATCACTGTCCTATCACCCTACTCCTAGCACTGTGACACCTCTCCCACGTCACTTGGGCCTGGAAAAAGAGCCCCCAAAACTCAAGTGTTTCTTCTTTACGTATTTCTCTTGAGAAATCTGCATTCTAGATGCCTTTTACAATTTTATGTGAACCCTCCAAACAGGCTCTAGTGACGGATTTTGGTTTCCCTCATGGCCTTTTAAGGCTGTGGTTCTTATTTTGTGGAGGGTTTGGGTTTTACATTAGACAAAAGTTACTGATGACTTCCTTTGACCGTCTATATGAAAATAAAAGCCATAGTTTCAGCCACAGTGTCTTTTTTTAAGATCTAATCCTTGGTGGGACTACACATTGCCGCCTTCCCCGTCGTTTCATACATACAAGTTAAACAGAAAAGAGTAGAGTCATTACTGTATTTATTTACAGGCATAGTTGAATCCCTAACATCCCCCAAGACAGCAACCCTACCCAGCCCAGGCAGATACTGCAACTGGGGTAAAAGAGGTTGGAAGGAGGCATGAGGGAAATACAGGGCTAGGGGAACAGACCCCTACATTAAATAGTTATATACACATCCATTCCTGTGGTTCTGTACAGAGCAGCGGCTGACCCCACCCCCACAGGGCATGGAATGGGGGAGGAGAGGAGACAAGGTAGTGAGGCCAGAGCCAGCCCCTGGTGAAGTGCAATAGCAGCAAGGTCCTAATGGTGCACAAGAGGGAGGGAGGCTCCCAGGGCTACCCCACCCTAACCCTGCCCTGGAATGTACTTGGGACAGGAATGGCTCTCAGGGAGCATATAGGAAGGACAAGGCTAGAACCGTCTTTTTGTGCCCAAGTTCAGGGCAACATTGCGCCTACTTCATCCTTATACACAGCAACCCTTGAAGAGAGCAGATGGCCATCAGTGGTCTGATCCACCCCTCCAAACCTACTGAGGGCCTGGTTCCTTCCTACCTCTCCCCAGGGAAAAGGAAGGCAGCTGCTTGGCTTCCCTGATGGAAGCCCAGGGAGCCCTTTATCCTAGCTCCCTTTGTAGTGTCACTGTCCCCACCAGGGAGGGGCCAGGCACAGTCTTGTGTCCATGATGGGGCTCAGGAGTAGTTCTGGACAGGGTGGCTGACCTTCATACAGGCCCAATAGAGGGCCCGGCCCAAACACAGCACAGCCAACAGGATGACAAATGCCCAGGCTGCATAGATCCCGCCGTACTTCTGTGCGTGCTTCCGAGTACCAAACTGAAGAATGTACAGAGGAAGGGGAAAATGAAAGACGGTTAGTGCTGACCTCCTTCCTGGGAATTTAGGGTCATAGCTGCCTCCATTCCCTATCCACCCTCAGGGGTCTTTCAAAAAGTTAACCTGCTGAATCGTTCCCCTTCAAACCAAACTCACTGCGGTCAAGTCGATGGGTGACTCACAGCGACTCTATCAGGCAAGACAACTGCCCTGTGAGTTTCTGAGACTAACTCTTTACGGGAGTAGAGAGCCCCATCTTTCTCCCGTGGAGTGGCTAGTGGTTTCAAACTGCTGACCTTGCAATTAGTAAGGGCTCACTCTTCCCTTAGGTAGGAACATATTCATACCATCAGAGGGACAACTGTCAAGTTTTTCTCATGGTTTCATATCTAAGGCAGGCTTTCTAATAAAGCCAAAGGGAACGCCAAGCAATGGAGGTGATTCCATCTCACTGCATCCCTAACAGCAAACCTTCCTTTAAGCTACTTCTCCACTTTCCTGTCCTTTCAAGAGAGAACTTGTTTTTCACCCTGATAATAACATGGAAGACTTAATCAATGACCTTCAACTTTAGCTCATCTATGCCTTAAACAAGGACAAACCTTCCTTTAAGCTACTTCTCCACTTTCCTGTCCTTTCAAGAGAGAACTTGTTTTTCACCCTGATAATAACAAGGAAGACTTAATCAATGACCTTCAACTTTAGCTCATCTATGCCTTAAAACAAGGAGCCTGGTGGCATAGTCGTTATGTGTTAGGCTACCAACTGCAAGGTCAGTGGAATGGAACCACCAGCCAAACCACGAGCAGCAACTTGATGGCAGCGAATGCCTTGAAGAAAACACACACACAGTCTGCAGTTTCTTTCTCCTTTCTCAAAAACAAACCCATACCCACTGTCGTGGAGTCCCACATCAACCCACAGTGACGCTATAAGGCAAAGCAGGACTGCCCCTGTGGGTTTTCAAAGCTTTGACTCTTGACAGGAGCAGAGAACTTCATCTTTCTCCTGCAGAAGGCTGGTGGGTTTGAACTGCTAACCTCGTGGCTAGCCGCCCAGTGTGTAACCACCATGGTTCCTTTAGGGTAAGCATTCCCCAAATCTCCCAGTCTCTGGAGACAAAGCTGAAGAAAGGGGTGGGAAGGCATCAAGTAAAGGTTACTCACAGCAAGGCCAGTAGCAGTGACAGCCAAGAGCAAGCCAAGCAAGAAGCAGCAGATACATCTCTTTCGTGGGTATCTGCGCCCAATAGATGACCTGTGGGGAGACAAACAGGAATGCATGCGTGTGATGTTCCTGTAGCTTTTACTATTATTAAACATTACTGATTATCAGCTCAATAATGTCATTCTCTAATCACTTACACTTTTCTGCAGTGAGGGCAACGTGCCAAAGTTCTGTCTGTGAACTCAGTCCACTATGGAGAGAGTAAAACAAAAGAACCAGTTTAAGGGTAGAAATTGGGCCATTGCCGTGAGAAAAGAACACTGGGTGGAAGAGGGAGGAAAGCATACCTTTTCAGGTTCCCTAACATTATTCAGACACTCAAAAAGCACTGTTACCAAACCACAGCATACAAAAGTGAAGCTATGGCTTCCCATTATATCCTCCATCTAGGCTTACACGCTTCGGAAAGCAGCGTTTCCATCCCCCTAACTCTCCCCTGAAGAATTATGGACCCTTCAATTAGCACCAGGTCAGAGGCAGTGTTGTCATCCTCAAGTGACTCAAATTGTGCTCCTTTTCATTGTTGTTTGAGTTTGGGGACCGAAAGGCAGTCGGAAGGGGTGAGATGTAGTGCAACAGAGGGATGGAGTAAGGGTTCTCAATAAAATTCTCCTAACTACTCTCGAAGGAGCAGGTACCTTGTTGTGATTGAAAAAAGAAAAAAAAAACTCCTCAGTGCAACTTTCCTAGCCTTTTTCTCACGGATAGTCTTCAATTTCTTGTAATTTCTTCTTAAGCCCCTGTGATCATCCTATAATCTTCAAGAAAGGCTACCAACATTACCCACTGGACGCCCGCACAACAGTCAGCATAACCTTCTGAGCTGACCTCTCTGCCTTGAATTTAACTGACCCCAACAGATCCCCTTGGAAGCAACTGTTCAGATTGGATCTGTTCTGAAGGTGCCCTAATGACACTAAGACAATTGTATTACTGAGAGACCTTATCTGCACCCCTCCACTGCTCAGAGGAGCGTTGAAACACATTTCGTTGGGGGTAAAGCTGCACAGCCTGGGATCCTAACAGCAGTGCTTTTGACATACCCTGGTCTAATTCTTCCTACCCCCAGGCCCTGGTCCTCACCAGAAAAGTATTCTTGCAATGTCCACAGATAACCCTGACACCTGCAGGTTGTGGCTCTGGACTCAGAGGTCCTGGATGCACGGGCCCCAGGTTGATGATTCTTTTGCTGTGTAGGAGAAAAAGATGATAATTAATATATTCTCAAACTAAGGATCCTACAGTGTCCCTCTTTCTCAATACCTGCTCCCAGCCTCTCTGATCAAGTTTCCTGCACTTCTCTCTACATTCAAGGACTCCACCCCTCATCTTCACCACAAAGAATCCTTCAAGATACATGATGCTTCAGAACAAAGTCTCCAATTCTCTTGTCACCTCAGGATGACCCTCCTAGTTCCCAAGATGTTCCATTCTCTTCAGGGACACCATTCCCTCACAGTCGTTACTTATGGAGATGAACTAGGTGGCCATATTTGGCACCAAACCAAAAAGCCAAACTCACTGCCATCGAGTTGATGCCGACTCACAGGGACCCTATAGGACAGGGTAGAATTGCCCCTGTGGGTTTCCAAGTCTGTAACTCTTGTCGGGAGTAGAGAGCCCCATCTTTCCCCTATACCACCAGGGCTCCTTAAATTTAGCGGCACTATAGTCTTCAACTTTTCCTCCTAAATTAGCACCAGACTCTCACATCATTATGTTCTGTGTGAACATTCATCCTTCTTTGGCTTTGCCGTCCCCCCCACCCCACTTAAATGCCCCTCCACTAACGCTGCTTACCAATAGGGCCGCGGGCAGGCGATCCTCTGGGAAGTCACTTTGCAGATTAGGAGACAGTTACAGGGGCAGCGGACGTACTTTTTCCCTGGGGGTGCATTCTTGATAGGCTATAAAATAACGGGGATGTCAGCGAGCAAAAGTCTAGCCCCAATCCTTTCCAATTCCCTCCCCCAAACACCCTCCTTCGAGACCGAAGAAAGACAGTCTTGCCAGGAAGAAGTGAAAGAAAAGCAGTATCGTGAGATTTGTAAATGAGAACTAGGTCTAGGATGCTGGAGAAGTGGGAACAGGAGCAGTGGTAAACATTAACTTGTGAGAGTGGCTTCTGGGGAAATGGGTGTGTGTGATTCTTGAACTGAAACCTGGGTTTCATGAAGAGCACTTGGGGAACGCATAAAAGCCGAAGTTTGGATTCAAAGCGCCACAGAGAGGGTGAGGGAAATGGGCCCCACTGTGAAAGCAGGTGGAACTCACAGTAGCTTCATTGCACACGCCACATTTGACTACATGCTGATGCATCTTTCCTTCCACGTTGATGAGAGACTGGCAGACACGGCAGGTAATCATGGGGGCACTCCCACTATCCGGGCTGGCCAGGGGTGAGTAGGGGGGGGGGTCGTCCCCAGGCAACACAGCCGGATGACCCTCCGGGAACGGGGGAAATGCTGGAGAAGTAGATTAAAAAGCAGGTCTGGGATCATTTGCAAATACCCTCACTGACACTCTAAGGGACCAGAGAAATTCCCTCTGGTCCTCAATCTTTCTGCCCAAGCTGGAGCGCTTGTCACGCCCCGGGCTGCCCTGGGCTTCCAGAGAAGCCCCTGCAGTTTCGGGTTTCAGCTCCCCTCCATAGCTGCAGAGAGAAGTCCCACCCCATCACAGGTGCAGCAGTCTCCCACCGGGCGCTGGGGTCCCGCCTCCGCCCTCGGCCCCGCCCCCTCCCCGCCGATCGGGGAACCCACCCACCCCCGGGAACACCTCGCCCCTGCCCGGGCTTACCCTGGGGCGGGGCATGTTTACCGGCTCCGTACGGTGGTGCGGAGGGGGTCAGGCCTCCCCCGGGCCCAGCCCCGCTCCCGCCGGGCCCCACCAGACCGTTGCCGCCGGCGCCACCGTCGATGGGCTCGGAGAGCAGCGGGGAACGCTCTCCATCTGCCGCCATGGCCGCCACCACCGTCTCCCGCTCCAGCCAGCGATGGGGCCGCTGCCGTCCCCGCCGCCGCCACCGCCGCCGCCGCTACCGGGTCCCCAGGGCGCCTGCGCGCCCAGCTCGCCCGCAACCAGTGGCCTACCCCGCCCCGTTCGGTCGCGCAGCACGTGATAGGCTGTCCCCGCCCCTCCCGTTCTAGCATTAGCGAGAATCAACCAATTGCAGCGCCCGAGAGGGCAGCTCTTCTTTTCCATTGGAGAGCGGCACGCTAACGTCAACTGTCACATGACACGCCGGGTGCCGCTGGGCCTGCAAAAGCCGCACGTGACGAGAGGTGCTGCGAGCCATTGGCGGTGGACCATCGCGCTACCTCCAGACCAGAAGGTGGGGTCAGGCTGCTACGGCTCTCTCAACACGGGCTTCAGGAAGCTCTGTGGACTGGGGTACGCGCCCAGGAGTTTGCTCCTTATTGGCCCAAAGGAGCCACTAAGACTCGCTCCCGCCCTTTGCAGTTACAAGTGGCCTGTCATTGGCTCGTGGCTTCCCTTCCCTCCTCCTGTGATCCCTGAAGTGCAATTTTATTGGCCGGACTTAGCGCCAGAACTTGGGGGCGTGGCATAACCATCTCCAGGGCGGGCAGTAAATGAGTGCGGAAGCTTTCTCTGCCTGCGGGTGTCTGCTGACTGCTCTCTGACTACTAGTAAGGGGAGCCACTCTAGGCCACAGGTGGCCACTCTACACAGTTAGCTACAAATAATTAGCTTTAAACAGTCAGAGTAAAGCTATGCCAGGAGAAAGTGAGCTAAAACGTTAAAGTTATCACTCTCCTGAGTCTCTGGAACAGGGCAGGATTCAGTAGACATCACATTCCTCCATCAGCGCCGCGTCCCCCTCCCCACGCCACCCCCGGTTAATTTGTGGAATTATTTTTTTAGGAGCCTGCCTCCACCACTAGAAAGAAATCGTATCAGTTACCCAATTTTGTGACACTCTGTGCTATATGCATGATAAGTGTTTGTTACATGAACCAGTCAAGTCCAAGACTGGTTTAATTAGTTACCTTGTTGAACAGATGGGAGAGTCTTTAATGTCCATCTTGCCCTCCATACAGTACCGCTAATAAACCATCTGGTCGATTGTGACCCTAAAGGACAGAGTCCATTCGATTTTAATCTGTACCAGAGCAGATGGGAAGATTTTTTTCTGCCACAGAGCAGCTCGTGGGTTTCAGCCACCCGTCTATTGATTAACAGTAAGAAGAGCCCAGCTAACCCGGGAGATCAGCAAAATGGCTCTGAGTTCATGACCAGGATAAGTATGTGATTGCTACATCTGTTCAGGTATGGGCTTAGGGACTCCTTGACTGAGAATACTCCAGAAAATAGCCTTTGCCTGAAAACAAAAACAACTAAATAAAACCCCCTCTGAAAACAAACAACTAAATAAAAACCCCTCTGATAAGGGCTCCTGCCTTCTGCTTTCCCAGGAACCAAATTAGAACCCTGTGAAAGCTGTGACCCCCAACCCTTGGGGACTGTGCCTCCTGGCTACTCTCCCAGCAGCCTGGTGGTCTTGATGGGAGCCTGAACTGCAACTGAGTTTTCCCCACGTCATAAACCAAGTGAAGAAGTGGAGGGCTGCAAGGACATTGACCAAAATAAAACAGGACCATGACCAGTTTGACGGATGCCTCCTCAGTGAGCTCAACAAGCAAAGGGCCACTAACCAAACTAAACCCACGGTCATGGA